AATGTAGGTGAATCATTTAGGATATAATAGAAAGAAAAGATAAAGATAGTTCTGAGAGTTTTTGTTTGAGCAAATAGGTGAAAAAAAGGTGATATATAATTTAATATCAGGGAGTCCTGTGTTGGAAGGGTGGGGCATCAGGTGTTCGTTTTATATTTTGGACATGCATATTCGCCTGTTAGACATCCAACGGAGATGCTGAGTAGGCAATTGTGTAGATGGGTCTAGAACTTATGGGAGAAGGTAGAGTGGGAGATATAAAAATGAGACTCATCAGCATATGGATGATTTTCAAAGCATGAGTCTGGAAGAAACTCTTCAGGGAGTAAGTATAGAAAGAGTAGAGAAAAGAAGACATACCAATATTTAGAAGTCAAGACAATGTTGAGGAACCAGCCTAAGAGGCTGAAAATGGTGACTAGTTAAAGTGGGAGGAAAATCAGGAGTTGTCCAGAAGTCAAGTGGAAAAAGTGTTCAGGAAGGAGAGGGTTCTTGCAGCTCTGACAAATGCAGCTGCCAGGTCAGATGAGGTGGGCAATAGTGGACTGTTGGATGCAGTGACTCTGTGTTGAGGGTGATGCGTGGCCATCTTCACGAGATCACTAAGGGTCAGCTGGTGAAGAGGAAACCACGTTGACTGGATTTCAGGGAGGAGGGTGGCAGAAAAAGTGGACACAGGAGATGATGCAGGCAACTCAGCTGTGGTCTGCAAGAGGAAAGGGGTAATAACCAGAGGAAAATATGTGCCAAAGGAGGGCTTTTGTTTCTGTTTTTCAAAGATCGGAGCCACAACAGCAGCGTGTCTGGATACCAGTGGTACAGTAGGGAAAGAGTGTTGGTGACACAGCAAAAGGAAAGGCATGGTTTAGGGGAAGAGTGTAGACATACGACAATGTGATAAGTCCTGAAAGAAAGATTAAACAGAGGGCTGTGGGACTGAAGTGAAAAGCACGAGCACCTATGTAAACAATTTTATTGTTCTTGTCCCATTTATTCCATTCTAAAATAAACACTGTATGTACAACTGGGCTTGTGATCTCTATGATGAATTCTGTAATGTGAGAAAGGCCTTATGTAGGATAGCATAGCAATGACAGTGATAGTTTGTAATACAATAGTTTTTTCAAGTTTTTCTGGAAATTGGCTGCTAAGTCAGCAAAGAAATATAAAGATAGGCCCTCCACCTCCCTTTTTTTAAAAAAAAATTAATTCTAAGGAAAAAAAATCAAGAAATCAATTTCTTTCAAAAGAACAAACCAAAAGAATGTTCATTATTTAATGGACAGTTCTTTTTTCTGACGGTACTGGGAGTAGAAGGGTGCAGGGCGGGTGGAAAGCAGAGATGGAACAAGATAGAAAACAAAGCTCACCTGGCTGTCACACTGCCCCTGCCGTCTGTTAAATGAGTCCCTTCCATCAGGTCTGGCTCTGAAGTGTGTTTATTGTGCCAAAGCTGAATGAATGGGTGAAAATTTAACTTGGGCTTTGCAAATATGTTTTGCTGTGGTTCGATGGAAAACCAAAGGGGTATCTTTGTTTTTTAACCTATATGGATGGTAGCAAGCTATTTTCTAGGCCTTATCAGGTTGCTCCCCAGGTGACCTAACTTAGAAATTTTCCAGTGTGCTAAATGAGGTGCCTTCTCAAAGGTATTCTTTTTTTTTTTCCTCTGTCTCTCCCAACCAGAGACCCAGGCTCCTAGAATATAACTTCCAGTGTAGGGAACTTAATATGACCCACACAGATGCCATGTACTCTACTTCCAAAATAGAAGGATTAAGGAAGGAAGGAAAGAGAGAAGGGAGGGAGAGGAAATAAGGCAGAACTTACCAAATAATTCCTATTGAGCATGACATGACAACTGCAAATTATTGAAGGAGAGAAGGGACGATTTCTACAGGGAACTATTTAAACAAGTACATATTTTAAAAGACAGTGTCAGTGGTTCATTGCATATAATCAAAATTTTTATTAATTTTAAACTAATTATAAATTATGCTGTAGTTTTAGAAACTTGAGTTGATCTGGGCACCAGGCCACACTTGCTTCCTATAGTTGATCAGTTTTGTTTTATTTGTGACAGTCCATTAATTTCTAGATTGTCTGTCTTATAGAAGGAATCAACATAGGGACTGGGATCCACCCTGTATTTTATCTTTATTTTTATGCCCTATATTTACAAATACTGGGAACTCATTTATTATTTACTAAATGAATAATGATTGAAAAAAAATGTGAAACAATAGTTCATGTCCTTAGAATACATTATATAGGTTTAAAAATTGCACTGACTTTGTTAATTTTTTTCCTGGCGTTATTATTAAACTAGTGTCTTTATGATATCTGGAATTCAATGAAACCCATCTTTGTAAAATACATGTTAATACATATTTATACAAGTTATAAATTACAGAATATGTGTTGATTGCAAAACTGTTATTACCTCCTATGTTATTTCAAAGTGGCAGATGTTGAAAGTGACACAAATAGAACACAAGGTGTGTCTTATACCAAATTTTTTAAAAAATCAGTTCACACTTCAGAAAGTTAAAGTTAAGCCGAAAAATGCCCAAAGCTGGATTGATGGAAAAAAACAAGTGGTCGCATTTTTAAAAAGTGTGTGTGTGTGTGTGTGTGTGTGTGTGTGTGTGTGTGTGTATTACAGTTAGTTTATATTATCAAAAGCATTCGTAAAGGCTTAAAGAGGTGCAGAAAGATGAGATGGAAGTCAAATGTATGGCAGGGAACATATCTCAACATAAGCAACCTCTCCCCCGAAATCCAATACCCCTCCTATACATATGTTCTACATGCCAAGTGGTGGCAGACATCTACCTAGCAAGGAAGAGAGTTGGGGATCTTCACTGACCTGACATTCTCACCCTCCTCCTCACCTGGCCTATTTTAGTTCTAGTATCACATAACTTTAAATATATTCGTTGATAGTTTGTTTTGATATGTGTAAGTTCTCCATCATTCTTCTTTTTCTAAATTTTTCTGGTTACATTTACTCTTCCAGACAAATTTAGAACCAACCTCTGAAACTGTTAAAAAATCCTTTGGAATATGCTATTGGAATTGTATTATTGCATATACATTGAGATAAAATTGTCATCGTGATATTTTTAAGTAATCCCATCTAGGAACTGTACGTATCTTTTTAAAACTGAAATAACAAACCTTTGATTATCCTTTGATTAAGTTTTATAGTGCTCTTTGTAAAGGTTTTGTGCATTTTGTGATAGGACTATACAATATATTATATATGTACATGTGGAGATAGAGTATATAAGTGTACATATATATGTTTAGTAACTATTTGGTATGCTACTATATATTTAATGTATTGTCTATACACTGGTACATACTATTATGTATATATTCTCTCTCTCTACATATACACATAGATGAAGATATAGATACAATTTTCATTGCTATTTTGTAGGTGTTGTTTCCTTTTTAAATTAATATATGGGATGGATTTGTATATGTTGATTTTATGTCTAGTCACTTTATTGAACTGTCTTGCTATTTTTAAATGAAAAAGGATTGTCTTAGATATTTTAGGACAAAAAAGTAGGTCATCCATGAACATCAAAAATCTTGTCACTTTGTTTTCAGTATCTATATTTCCATCTCTGTCTCTTCTTATTTAATTGAGACCTGTAGAACTGTGTCAAATAGCAGATCGGGAATATCCTTATATTGTTCCTAGTTCTAATGGAAATGCTTTTTTTTTTTTTTAAAGATTTTTATTGGGGGAATTGGGGGAATGGGAACAGTGCTGGGGAATTGGGGGAAGGGGAACAGACAAGTTGCTGTCGTCTTGTTCTTCAATCTAGTTGTGGAGGACGTTGCTTCACTGGCCCAAGTTGGCACCATCATTGCGCTCTTCTCTGGCGAGGCAGATCAGTCGCCGGCTTCTGGACGGCCGCTCACTGCGGCTGCTGGCCGCTCACGCTGGCTGCTGGCTACATACGGTAGCCCATGGCAACCCACTGCCACAGGGGCTGCAGCCTACGCCGTCGCCGGCGACTCATGGCAGCCCAGCTCCAGGTTGAGCTGTTGTTCAGCATCTTAGCTGTGGAGGGCAGTGTCACTGGCCCTCATATGTGGGATCCGAACCGGGGCCCTCTGGCATCCCAAGCGATTTCTTAACCATCGCGCCACTCGGCCGGCCCCCTAATGGAAATGCTTTTAATGTTTCATTATTAAGTCAAATGTTCACTATAGATTTCTGGCAGATAATTTAATTTTTGATCATGTTAAGGACATTTTTTTCTTCTTTGCTTACCAAATATCTTATTATTCTCTCCGTTTGCCAAGGTCATGGTGAACATGCCCAGACCTACTCTGTGCCCTTTATCATTGCTGATCCTTTGCTCGTGTTTGTTCTCTGCTATGATATGATTCCAACATCTTTTAAGACTCCTTTCCAATGTCCCCTCTCCTCCAAGCCTTTCTTGACCTACTCTCTGCGTGTCGCTCTCATTCTTCCTTTGCCTACTTTGTAGCTGTTATTGTTACATCCTTCTCCTCATAAGACTACAAAGTCCTAGAGCTGACATCTTCAACTATTCACCTTTGGGTCTCAAATGTCCAAGCCCCTGACATATATGTAATAGATGATCAATTAAAATGGTTTTAATAAATTAATGAATGTAAGAATCATTGAAAAGTTTTCTGTGGATAATACAAGTAGGTGATACCCTGGATTTGGATAATACTTTATTATTTCTTAGAATATCTTTCTATTTCTTAGAATTACGTTTTCAGTTTCTTGCATTTTGTTTCTAGTAGCAGGTGTTGGGACTTGGCCCTCTGAAACTATACCAGCTATTGAAGAGGAAGAAAACATGTACAAAATATTGCATGTACTGTGTTACATATTTGGGGCAAGATATCGTTTGTTGGTTGTCAAAGCATAGGAGAATAAAAGTTATTCTTGAATTTTTAATTTTATTTTATAAGAAAATTCACTTTCTTTTTTTTATGTGCAGGGAATAACCATTCGACCACTGGTGGAGTTCCTTGATGTTAAGAGGTCCAACAAGAAACAGCAAGCTGTCAGTGAAGAAATCCATTGTCGAGTAAGTTTTAATGTACTATAACAATTTAAATGATAAAAGAAAAAATGTTGGATTAAGTCAGTTTGACATCATGGTCCTAATTCCCTGAAGAAGAGGGAAATGGCGGAGGGTAAAGGGAGGGAGGCTGAGAAAGACATGAGTCAGGGGTGTAGAATGAACGGGGCCCCACGGTGGCCTCTCCAAGTAAGCCTGCTGAACGCCTCAGGAACACAGGGACAAGGAATCCCCTTTTATTATTCCCTTCAACCTGAAAATGTTTCTACTGGAAAATTATCGCCATACTCCCTATTTTCCAAAATTATGAATAAACTTATGATGAGAAACATAACCTAAGATTCGCTTTATATGCATGTGACAAACATCTCATCAGTTTGTTGATGATTAATTATTGTTTTATTGCTTTCCATGAAAAAAAAACCCCAAAAAGCAAAACTTTAGGGTCTTTGAAATTCAGGCATGATATAAATAGAGTGGAAATTACTGATCTCAGGTGAAAATGAATCAACGAGCCTGCCTTTTTCATTTTAGTTTTTTGATCATGTGAAGACTGGGATTGAAGATGTTTGTGGACATTGGGGTCACAACTTTTGGAGAGACAAGTAAGAAAGTCTGATGTCATTACATTATGAAGTGGCTCTGGATCACTCTAGAAGCTTGACTTATTGACTTGCCTTATATTTCAGAGTTGTAAATGTCTCCTATACTGTGCCATAGCGTGTCCTTTCAGATAAAGTTCAGCTATAACAGAGACCTGGAACAATAGTGGCTTTAACACAATAGAAGCTTATTTCTCACTTATGCAAATAGCCAGACGTAGGCAATGGAGGTTTAATAGACAAGTCCTCCTGCACAGGCTCCTTGTGGTCTCAGGACCCTTCTGTCTCATTGATTCCACCAACAACTTCCATTTCTAAAGTTGCCTCTTCGACCAAAATGTCTGGCCCAGCATTAACCATCATATGGACCTTCCAGGCTGTATGTAGGAAAAAAAATATTGAAGACACAAAAAACATGTACTAGCTTCCTCCTAACAAAGTTACCACAAGTTTCCACACAATTCTTGCGGTTATATCACATGGCCTGGCTTTATATAGAACTCAGTCATATGGACAATTTTCACTGCAAGGGAAACTGAGGAATGCAGTCTATTTGGTTAAAAACTGGCGGTTCCATTACTATTTGTTCTCCCATATGTGTTGACGGTCTTCAGAGAACCTAAGGATATAAAGAGACTAACAGAAAAGAAATATTGTTAAAGCTAGTTATCTGAAAGATTATGTGCACTTACATAACTATCTATCTATCTATCATCATGTATCTATTTACCTATCTATTTTTTTAACCTTTAAAGGCTCTGTGGTGGATAAGTGAGATTCATTGTCTCTTTTCAAGGATTTTATAGTTGAAGTGGAAAGGGTAGACTAGCGAGGCAGAATCACTGTTTAGCAAAGACTTTTGAAGGAGGTGGCCTTTCCGCTGGTCACTGAAGACAGATGGACAGGTTCTCGGCTATATTTGGTGAATGCCTCTTGCCTTCTTGCCTTGTCTCTCCTAACTTGCTAACAGACCAACCCCTCCACTGCTAATTAACATGAAGTTGATCAACCTACCAGTTTATGTAATTTAACATAAAGGAATTGTTAAGTGCTTACTGTTTGCTCACATGTTCTGACATGATACTGGACTACATGGGAAGTATAAGCTATAGACTCAGGCCTTTACAATTTTGCAATATAGTGAAGATAACAAAACAGTCACACAGCAAGTAGGGGTGTGTGTGAGAGTGTGTGTGTGTTTGTGAGAGATCATTAAGTAATAAAATGAATTAAGGAGACTTTAAGTGCAACCTTTAAAACCTGACCACACCATTTACCAATGTAGAAAGGCCCCAGGGACTTAGCCTTATTTCATCTTGAAAAGAAAGCCATTTTATTTGTGAGAAGAGAGTAGGCAATTAGCCACACAGGGGCACAGAGTAATACAACAAAACAAACTAAAATCTCCATTGTAAAGCTATGAAAACAGTGTCCGTTTATTGGGCAGTAATCACTGTTTCGGAGGCACGAGGTAGAGCAGAGAACCGTAACCGTCTGCCTTGTGACTTTCTACACTGCCCTGCTTTACATCCTTGGGACCTTCCTAAGACCCGTCCTCGTGTGTGCCGAGCCAGTGAGACAGACTTCTCTGCCCCTGGTCTCCATATTTTCCATAGCCACGCCTATTCCCCACCTACCTTCTCCCTTTCGACCCAACCACTTTTCTCCCTCGTCTAGCATCCTGTCGGTCCTTGCCTGAAGTGACTAGTGACAGCAGTACCTCAGAATAGTTTGTTTGTTTTCAAAAGGGAAGATCGGGCTAAAGATTTATACCACCCCTCTGCCTCCTAAACAGGGGGAAAAATAAATGTGAGTAGGTATGGGAATGAGACCAGCAGTCCCTGTGGCAGTTAGGAGAAGAGATGGACCCTGTGATCATGTAGGTTTTGTCTGGAACTCGGGTGAAGGAATGTCAGAGAAAGTCTGGCTACATCCTATCTTTCAGGGAGAGGCACTTTATCTCTGAGGTATGAGTCTGTTGCAGGCAGACATCTGCAAGCTGCCAGGCTAATTGGACTATAAATACTAAGGATGGCAGAGACCACATTAATTCTTGCCTGAAAGGTAACAGTTACACGTCTAACATTTTTCTCTGCCATGTGCATGCTTCATTTAATAATTTTGTGAACCCTTATGCATTTCCATGCACAATGTTTTCCAGGTAAATTTAAAATAATTTTCTGGATAGCCAAGTATACTGTATGTTGCAGCTAGAGTGGGGAAGTGGGTTCAGAGGGATTTGGTGCTGACACAGGCCACTTTTAACATTAGTTCCACACAGATCCTGTCGCTGGTACGTACATAATTGTTGATTTACTAGAGATGACATAAAAAGCAATGATAGTTTTAGGTATAGTGGGTATCTTTCCCTTTCCTCTGGAATCCTTATGCTGTGGATTTCTAGTCATCCTGCTAAATAATTCTTGAGGCATTCGATCCTTTGAGAATGAAATGAGAGTGGAATATATAAGGGAAGCTTCTCAAACTTGGCAAAGGGAACCAAACGATGGAGAAAGAAACTGCCTACGTGTAGCTTGGCAGAGAAATAAAAGGAATGGAAACAAAGCAAAGAAAGAAAATGCACAGTTCCTATGCTAACTGGGTCAGATGTCATTGTCCTTAATGTTTATTCTTCCTTTTGTTTATCTCTAGTGAAAAGCTAAAAAAAAAAAAAAATAATAATAAAAGTTTAAAAAGATGTGTTGCTGCCAGGAGTCCTGCCCTAGGGCTTAATGTGAAATTCAAAATAAACTCAGAAAGAGTAGGCCCAATGTTGAGTGTAGGGATGGCTCTCTTTAATAACTCATAGCCCTCCAGTATTTAGAACAAAGGACTAGCCCCAAGAATGTGGGTTGACATTGTTTCCTGTCAAAGCACTGGTGTGCCTATAAACCTCCTTGGGCTTATTACGGTGATCACTGTAATAAATCTTTTTCTCAACAAATATTTATTACATGCTGTCTCACTTACATGTTGGCATCAAAATGTTACATAACAAACCACCCTAAAAATTAGCTGCTCAAAACAACAAGTCACTTATCATGAAAGCGCCTGTGTTTAGAGGCTGAGCATCAACTGATCTGGGCTGGCCTTGCACCCGCTTTAGTGGGGTGGTTGGTTGTCAGCTGATCCCCGCTGGCCTTCTCTGTGACTGGGGCGACTTAACTTTGCTTTATGTGGCATTCACCTTTGTCCTGGGACTAATGAGTCACTCTGTGCATATCCTTCTCATGGTAATTGTGGAAGCACAGGAGGCAAGATTTAATGAACAGGCCCATTTTAAGCCTCTGCTTTCATCATCATGTCTGCTAATAGCCCATTGGCCAAAGCATGTAGCATTATTGAGCCCAGTGTCAGGAAGCAGGACAGGACAGGCCATCAAGGCCTTGGCGGAAAGAAGGTACCAAGTGATCTGGCAGAGGATGTGGATACAGAGAAGTATTGGGATCAAATTATTCATTCTACCATACTGGCTCCCAGTGTGCCAGGCACTGTTCTATGTACTGGTGACATAGGAAAACAACAACAAACCTCTGCCCGTAGATATCATTCTAGTGGCTGGAAACAGAAAATAAGGTAAATAGTAAATTAATAGTATGTTAGAAAATGATAACGGCTATGGAGGAAATCGTATCTTTGAAATAGAACAAGAAGTGTGATGGGGGTGGCATGCTATTCTAATGGGATGGATAGGAAAGGCTTTTTTGGAAAAGTGACTATTGAGGAAAGACTTAGGTCTGAGAATGAGCTCTGCAGGTATGTTAGAGCAGTGTTCCTAGTAGAAGGAATAGTAAGAATCAAGGCTCACAGGTGGGGGCACAGCTGGCAGGTTTCCAGGACAGGAAGGACACCAGTGAGGCTGGACCCGAGTAAGAGCACAGTGTTAAGAGGCACAGCTCCAAATTGCGTAGGGATTCCAGGTCGTTGCACAGTTACTCAGGTGGGATGCAGAGGAGTCATATTGTTTGACTTACATTTTAAAAGGATCACACTGGCTTCCGTGTCAAGGATAGGCTGTAGGAATGCAATGGTGGAAGAATGGAGAAATGGACACTAATTAGGTGCCCATTGCAAGAATCCATTGAGAGATGATGTCTTGGACCAGGGTGGTAGCAGTGGAAGTGGTGAGAAATAATTGGATTCTGTATCCCTCTTTTGATGGTGGAACCAACAGGAATTGCCGATTGAGTGGATAGGGTGTATTAGTTTGCTAGAGCTGCTGTAACAAAGTATCATGGGTAGGGTGGCTTAAGCAACAGAAATTGATTATCTGAGTTCCGAAGGCTAGAAATCCAAGGTCAAAGTTCAGTAGATGTTCCTTCTGAGGGCTGCGAGGGAAGGATCTGTTACAGGCCTCTCTCCTTGGCTTGTAGATGGCCTTCTTATTCCTGTCTTCATGTCATCTTTACTCTGTATGTATTTGTCCAAATGTCCCTCTTTTTATACAGACACCAGGTATATTGGATTCAGGCCCACCCAAGGGACCTCATTTTCACTTAATCAACCGTGTAAAGACCCTATCTCCAAATACGGTCACATTCTGAGGTACTGGGATTACGACTTCAACCTGTGAATTTTTAGACAGACATTGAATTCAGGCATAACATGAAATGTGAGAGAAGGAGAAGGATCAAAGATGACATCAGGGTTTTTGTCCAGTTGGAGTTGTCATTATCTGAACAGGGGAGTATTGTAGGAGAAGAACAGTTCAGTTTGAGCATGTTAAGTTTGCGATGTCTTCTAGGTATCTAACTGGAAATGTTGAGTAGGCAGCTGAATATTCATTTCTGGGGTTTGGGAGAGGTTGGAGCTGGAGATAAAAATTCAGGAGTCACTGGCATAGAGATGCTATTAAAATCCATGAGACTGGGCACCATCGCCAGGAGAGTGAATGGAGGTAGAGAAGAGGACCGAGGGGCACTCCTACATGAAGCTCCCAGAAAGAAGACAAATAACCAACAAAAGAGGCTGAGAAAGAGGTAGGCAGGCACCACAGGGAGTGTGGTGTCCTGGAAGACAATGTTTTAAGCAGGAGAGGTCCGAAAAGGTGAGGACTAATAATTGGCCATTGGATTTATATTGTGGTGGGTCACTGATGGCCTCCATATGAGTAGTTTGAATGAAATATTGGAGGCCTGATTTGTGAATTGTTCAAGAGAGACTTAGAGGAGATAGACAGTATTAACACCTTTGAGTAATTTTGCTAAAAAGGAAAGCAGAAAAAGAGGAAATATAGAAATATATGTAATTTACTTTATAGTTAGTGAATATTAGATATATAGAGGGTGCCAAAAAATGTATACACATTTTAAGAAAGGAAAAAACTATTATAATTTTAATACTCAATATATACTGATAACAAAAGATGAATACATGTATATACCTTTTGGGGGCACATATGTATATACATATGCACACATACATATACACATATACACACATACATACACACACATATATACATACATGCACATATTTTATGTACATGTTTATTTAGGTATGCACATAGAAAAATAAATATAATGACCAGACTAGCTAAATAGTGCTACTACATTGTTTCCCTGGGAGCAGTGAAAATGATTTCATTGCTGAAAACAGTTTTTTTCTTAGTGTAGTATTAATTAATTGAAGATTTTATTGTTTTTATTTTCAGGTTTAAGAAGTTTGATGACAAATACCTACGGAAACTTTTGATTCGGGAAAACCAACCCAAGTCAAGCATCGTGTCCTTATATAAAAAGCTTGAAATAAAACATGCCATTGAGATGGCAGAGACTGGGATGACAAGCACTGTCCCTTCTTTTGCATCTCTAAAGTAAGTGCTATTTTGCAAATAAAAGTATTGCTAATATGTCTTTATATTTTCTGAAACTAGTAATAATAACAAATTTGACCTATGTCCTAGAGAGATACCTTATAACCTCCCAGCAGAATGAGATTCTAGCTAAACTTTGAAAGCCTAGAAATGTGTACCTTATGCTATTTCATGGCATGCCATGCCGCATCACATCATGTTATTTTAGAATTGACTAGTCCGAAAATACTTTGTCATGTTTAGCATGATTTGGCCTTTATTATATATGCTTTGGGCAATTCAGTGCTTTTTGAAAGCAAAATCTGTTATGCAGGCATTTTAATGTGTTATATTTGCTATTATACATATACGTGTAGTTATTTAGCTATTTCCTCATAGATTACTCACAGAATCATAGTTTAAGGCTTGGAAAGAACAGTATTGATCATCTAGTGCACTGGTTCTCAACCCAGGCTGCACATTAGAAACAGTTCGGGAGCTTTTAAATAATACACATACCAAGACCAATAAAATCAGGATCTCTGGTATTGAGAAACAGGTATGGGTATCTTTATAAATTCTTCAGATGTTTTTAATATGCAGCCAGGATTGAGATCCACTGACCTAGCCTGTCTCCTTAATTTTAAACATGAGGAAATGAATACTCAGATTTGTGAAGTGCTTTGCCCAAAATCTTATAGCAAATCTATAGAACAGTAAATACTCAGTTAGCAAATTAGGTTATGTCATCATGTAATCATCATTCCTTTTCTATTACAAAAATGACAGAAATTACAGGTTCTGCTGGTTTCTTCTTTCACTGCTGAGCTTGAAGCTCATTTAAACTAAATGTCACCTAATTAAAATACCATCTGTGGGAGAGTTGAAATGACAGAGGAAGTCCAAATCACACCTCACTCTATAAACTGACTTTTACTAGGACTCTAAGTTCCCTATAAAAATTATGGGAGTTCACACAATCCAGAATAAAAAGAAATAGTTATCAGAATGGCTTGGAGGCAAAGGCATTATATTGTATTATAAACAGTAGTGGATTGAGCAGAATGGCTGATTTATAGTACCACTCTGCAAATAACTCTGTATGACCTTAAGCTGGTCCATTTATTTCCCTGAGATTGAGTTTTTTCAAGTAGAAAATGGAGCTAGACTTGACCCTTAAGTTTCCCTCTAGCTTTGCAATTTCATTATCTTTCTTATGCACTATTCCATTTGCACTTGAAGCAAGGGATAATTCAATTACCCAGCTTCTCACAGGAGAGCCAGCATCTTTGTGGTCACAGAAGAAAGAAATCTCAGTTTTACTCTCTGTTTGCAGTTCATTTTGAAGCTGGTAGTAAGCAGAGTGAAGGCAAAGGTTTAGGGTTAGGGAACTAGGTTACAAAATTAATATATAGCCACATAATTGGATAAATGAGTGCCATATTGACCATTCTATCTCTCCTGAAATGTGTTCTCTGAGGAAAGTAGAAGCAAAAAGGGAGAGAGATAATAATGAGTTGTTTTTCTGGCAATAATAAACTGAGTGTTACAGACCAAACCATCTTCTGAGAACAACTAGAAATATAGTACAAAATATATTTTTAAAATTTCCTTGAAAGCTGGAGAGTACACAGGAGGTGAGGACTATTTTCAGCCAAGGATCAATAGAAGAGGGAAGTCCAAGAGATGTAACTGGCATTTGGTGCTATTTCCTCCCTAGATTAGAGAGAAGGTGTCTGACAGTCTAAAAGACCAAAATAGAGGTTTTGATAGACTGATTGGTCTTAGAGAATAAAATTGGAATTCAGGACCTACCAAGAAGGAAGGCTCTTGTACCCAAACATAGGTTGTTACCTCAAAATTCTACAGCTTAACCCTCAAAGAAAAGAAGTCCAACTTAGAATTATCTGAATCCACAATTGTTTAAATCATATAAGATTGATATTACCCTTATTCCAGCTGCTTGAGAGAAGTAAACTTAAACCTTCTATGGAGGAAAGTAGCATTATAAAAAGCCTTAAACTACCATTGTGATTTCTCATATATAATGTGTAGCAACCAATCAAAATAAAATGAGTAGACAAAGAAATGTGACTGAAAACACTAAGGAAGAAGATAAACAATAGTAGAGTAGCAGTAGGTACAAAGGGGATTCAGATAATTGAGTTATCAGATAGGGATTTTAAAATAAAAATAATATGTATAAGGGAAGAAAATATCATGGCCATTTTTGGCATTGTCATGAAGACTATATAAATAAAACATATCTTAGATTATCTTAGTAGATAATTATTAGATATCTTAGTAGAATATTTGACCTAAAAATAAAGTACCTAAATCTAGGCTCTCATTTGATAGTTGTAAAAGCAGATTAGATACAGCAGAAGAGAGAATTGATTACTTGGAAGATAGGACAGAAGAAAATAACCAGAATGCAGCACAAAGTGAAAAAAAAAAAGGATGAAAAATATTGAAAAAAAAAGTAAGAAACATATAGGATATTGTGAAAACTTCTAGAGGGAGATGAGAGAGAAATTTGTAGAAGCACTGTTTTATGACAAAATAACTGTTAATTTCCCCAAACAGATAAAAGACATGAACTTTGACAAACCTCAAGAAGATTAGATAAGAAGAAAACCAAAGTAGATACATGATAGTAAAAAGTGCTAAGAATAAAAAACATAAAGAGGACATTTTAAATATACTCTGAGGAAAAAAGAGACTTATTTTCTTCAAAAGAAAAAAAATTTTTAAGAGGCGTTTTTTAACAAAAGCAGTTGAAACTATTGCTATCTTCAAAATTCTTAAAGAAAGTAACTGATTAACATAGAGTTTCATTTCCTGCTAAAATACCCTTCAAAAATGTAGAATAAAAACATTTTCAGGGCCAGCTGAGTGGTTCAGTTGATTAAGAGCGTGAGCTCTGAGCAACAGGGTCGCTTGTTCGATTCCCCCCATGGGCCAGTGAGCTGTGCCTGAGTTGAGCTGCCATTGAGCTGCCAACAGGTGGCAGGATGGCTTAGCTGGTTAGAGCACGTGCTCCTAACAACAAGGTTGCTGGTTCAACTCCTGCATGGGATGGTGGGCTACGCCCACCTGCAAATAAGATTGAACATGGCACTTTGAGCTGAGAGGCTACGAGCTGCCTACGGGCGGCAGGATGGTGACTGGACTTGGAGCTGAGCTAGCTGCGCCCTCCACAACCAAGACTGAATGACAATAACTTGGCTGTTCCCCTTCCCCAATTCCCCAACACTGTTTCCCTCCCTCTGCCAAAGAAAAAAACATTTTCAGACAAAAACCATCATGCTAATGTGAATGATAGAGGGTTACAGACAGAAGGAAAAGAGTCTCATAGAGAAGCTCTCAGATGAAGAAAGGAATTAAAATAATGGAAACAGTAAATATTTTTCAAATTTAAATGAGTATTAATTGCATAAAATAATAACGTCTATGGGGTTTGAAATATATACCAAATTAAAAATAGCAACAATAATAGGTCATAAATCGAGAGGGAAGTGAATGGTGTTATTGTGTTCTAAGGTCCTTGCATTGTCCAGAAAGCAATACAAATAAATGTATTTTGGACTTTAATAAGTCAGTGATTAATGTTGTAATCCCAGGTAACCACCAAAAAATTAGTAAAATAATGTAACAAGCCAACAAAGAAGGGAATTGATATAACAAAATAAAATAAATTTTAAAAGGGCAACAAAGTAGAAAAATTAATCATAAAACATAAGGGACAAATAGAATGCAAATAGTAAGGTAATAGTCTTAAATCCAAAGGTAAGTAAAATACATTAAATATAAACTTACTCCATTTAAAAGGGAGAAATGATCAGAATGCAGAATGGATAAAAATACACAACACATATTGTTTGTAAAAGACACTCCTTATATGTAAAGGTATAGAAAGGTTACAAATAAAAGGTTGAAAAAAATATACTGTTAAAGCACTAAACAAAAGAAAGTTTGTGTAACTATATTATAACCATAAAATGTAAGTATCATAGGAAGAAGACATTGCTAGAGATAAAGAATTACATTTTATAATGATCAAGGTTCAATTCTATAAGAAGACATAGCAAGTTAAATTAGCATACAAACAATAGCATAGCCTCAAAATATATAAACCAAAACTTGACAGAATCACAAGTAGAACTCCACAAATTCATTATCATAATGGATATTTTAAGTCTAAACAAGGGAAGTAGTTGTGCACTTTTCACTAGAGTTATGCAAACATATGTTGGTTAAAAACTTGGTGGGAACATTGTTCAAGAAAATCAGATATCAAAAAGATTGTTATTTATGGACCTTATTTGTTCATTTTGACTCCCAAATTCTGTGAATTAATTTGCTCATCAAAAAACCTAACTAGAAAGGTGGACAGCTATCTAGACAACAATGTGTCAGTCTAAAAAGATGCTTCTTTAAAAAATCATCTGAGTACCTGAAGTTGAGGCAAAAAGGAATCATCTAAATAAGAGAAGTCTGTCCTGATGAAGTCTTGAATGTCTGTGTTCCTTCCTTTGTGTGTATCTATTACCTATTGCACATAGGCTTTTTTACCCCAGTAATTACTGTGATGGTTGGTTTACAGTAGCAGTAAGTTTGCATTTAAAAATAAGAGAACTATGCTCATTAATTTGTGTGCCCTTGGTTCATCTTCTGTATGCATTTATGTATATTAACCGTCCCAGCTTTAATTTATTTTCTTCATTTATCTTCCTATTTACTATTGTACTATGTATTTGTGTAGGCCCCTTCAAAGCATTTTTGAAGGAATTAGAGTAAAACTACGTAAATACAGTCGATTCTTGTTCGTAGTATTTACGTTTTATAAAGTAGCCATGAACACTGATTTGCAAATACTCAACCATTGCTCCTGGGAAAATCCAGGGTAAGGTTCCTGTGAGCTTCTTGTCACAGTGTGTTCATCAGCCAATCAGTACATCATCTTGTTTTATGTATGTTTCTGTTTAAAGAGACCTTATTTACTATGTATTGTTGCTTCATTAATATTGAATTTGTGGCCAACAGCACCATAGCTCATGCTTGAAAAATGTTTATCTAACAAATTTTCTCTGGAAGGCCCATCAAGCCTTAGTGTACATAGGAACTCCATAGAGCACTTCAGGACTGTGCTCAGGGGGCATTTAAAACAGCATCACCAACAAAAAGCACTCCAAAATGTGGAAAATGTGTCCCTAAATAGACCATGAAAAGGACATTTTTTGACAGTATGACGGCTCCAACCAGAAAGCAAAGCATTGTCATGGTCAGCCTCCTTTGGGGAGTCTGCATGTTGATCGGCTCAAATTTTCCCCCACTTTTTACATATCTGTGAATGACTGGAAAGTGCCATGAGTACTGGTAATGTGTTTATAAATAAATTTTAGTGAGTTGGTGAATTTGCAAATATGAAATCCCTAGATAATGAGGATTGACTGTATATACATACATATTATAAGTGGTGTCTTTGCAGATATTTCTAATGAAGCATTTAAAAGCCCAGGACATAAGAGCAAAATATATCTAATTACATTTTTGTTGAAAAAAATAGCCCTGTATTACTTTATTTATGGAGCATTAGAGATAATGGAGTGATAGCATTATAAGCTACTATACTTTATCTTCCTTAAAAAATTAATTACGTGAACAGACTCTGAAAACATATGTATGATTGAACTTGTCCTGAATGATTCTGATACTGAAATAAAAGTTTTAGATATTGAATTATTTTAAAATATTGAATTATTCCTAAGTATTATTCTTTAAACTAAGATTCTTCTTAAATAATGGTATTATATCTGTAAGAAAGAAAATCGATGAATTTAATAGTATTTGTTGAATAGTAAAACCTTGTTTTTTTTTAACTTTCACAGTGACTGTCGTGAAGAAAAAATAAGGAAGCTCACACCTGGTGAAATGGATGAAATTCGAGAAATATTATCAAGAAATCTCTATCAGATTCGTCAGCGAGTAAGGATAATTTATTTAGCAAAATAGTGACTTGCTTTTGACTAAAAATATGCCTTCTGATTCTGTGCTACCCAATTAGAGTGGATATTGCCCCACCGTCACGCCAGCCTCCGAGGTCCCACAAGAGGCATCTTCTCTTGTCTCAGACCCGTTTCATAGTGTGCTGTCGTCTTGTTAGGGTGCCATTCTCCTCCAGACACCATGGTAAAGCCTTGGAGTCCCCTGGGAGTTCTGCTGCTATGGGCTTGGAGATTAAACACGCACACACGCGCACACACACACACACACACACACACACACACACACACACACTCACACACTCTAATTGTGAAGAAAATACTAATTGATTGTGCTCTATTTTTTAATGAGATACCTTTATGCTTAGAAGACTTTTAAAAATGTATTTAATCTTGTTACTTATAAAGTGCTATAGCTTCTTCCTTTAATGTACCATCTGAGTCACTTCTTTTACTGTATTTCCATTAACACCTCATTCTAATAATCTGCTAATAATATAGATAACACTTAATGGAGGCATACAATTTGCCAAGCCCCCTTTAAGTGCATTGCATGTCTTAGCTCACTTAATGCTCCAATAAGCTGTAAGTGTTACTGTTGTCTCCATTTTACAGATGAAGAAATTGAGGTGACATGCACACAGGTCACGCTGCTTGTCAGGAGTCCTCCTCACTCATGTCAGGGTCATTTCTGTAGATTCTTAGCTGGTCTCCCCAAAGGCTGTCCACCTTCCATGCTACATTCCTGTCGCTCTACTTTTCCCTAAAACCTTTTAATAGGAGCGTTCTCCTATATAAAATGAAACACAACAATAGTCATGGCTTTAAGGCTAAACAGTTCTTTCAGAATTGGGGATCTCTATTTCCAAGTTCTGCTTTATCCAACCTCATTTCCATGCCTCCCTCCCTCACCCACCCACCGCAGGCCCTCACGGTGTACAGGCTCTGTCTTCATTCCTTGGCCTGGCTTGTTTCATTTGCTGTCTCCACTGCTCCTTCCTGTCAACTCAGCTGACCCTTTAATTTTTAAGGTTCCCCAACAACACCTTCTGTATTATACCCAACCCTATCTTTAAAAGGGACAGTACTTAGAGCTCGTGCTAAACCACATGCATTTAGCACATAATTTCACGATTCTGTATTATATTGTTAGCCTGAGATGCCCAACTAGGTAGTAAGTTTCTCAAAACAGGTACTGAGCCCTTTCCTTATTACTTTTGTATCTCTCTACTAGCCTAAAAGAGGCTAGACACAGGGATATTCCCAAGAAATAAATACACATTAATTCTATCAGAAAATGAACTTAATTACAAATGACAATTTGTCTTAGGACAAAGATTTCTATTTAGCTTATAAAACTAAAAATGTATACCATGTACAGCCCTCACTGAAGCATTTTCATGCGTCAAATATGAGGTCAAGGTCATTGATGGTGGTAGGACCAACTTCCTCACTTTGAAGCCAACCCAGCTGAGAAGAAATGTCCCTAAGTCAATCCAAAGCGCATGGCACCACCAAGTGGCTCAAAGTGATGCGTTTTTATACCACTAATTCCTGTTCAACAGAGAATGTGTGAAGATGACGTGTATGTTTTTCCCCAGACGCCAGTGATGGGTAAATACATACAAGGTACTTCCAGGTAGATGGAAGCACTTGATGAATTCCATCATTTTTCTCATTTATAAGATTACACTTTCCAATGGCGTAAAAAAAAAAACACCAAAAACCAAAACAAAACAAAAAAACACCACCACAACAAAAAAAAGTATTCACTAGCTTTTATTAGAAGAGGAATACTTTCAAAATTTGAAAGAATATTAACTTTCATACTTATTTTTAACCCCCTGCACATTAGTTGTTAAGTACCTAGCTGAGTTGCAAAGCCAAAGAAACGTAGTAAATTTTTGGAATTTCTGGGGCAGTGATTACTTTTTTATTTTTTTGTAAATGTCACTGGTATTTTCATTTCAGACTTTGTCATACAACAGACACAATTTGACGGCCGACACAAGTGAGAGACAAGCCAAGGAGATTCTGATCCGCCGAAGGCACAGTTTGCGGGAGAGCATTAGGAAAGACAACAGCTTGAATCGGGACCGCAGGGTAACTGGCATTTGTGCCTCTGGGATGCACAAGGCTTCCAAGAGCCTAACCAGCAGCTGCCCTGGAAGTGCGCTGCTGAGGGTTGATTCCCAGGAATTGTGGGGTGGAGTTAATCACAGCTTTTCACATGTCTCTTGAACACCTGTTATGTTCCAGACACTGCTTTAGGCACTTGGAATGAATTGGGGAACAAAAATGAAAGAGCTATGCCTGTAGAACTCTCATTCTAGTGGGAAGAAGGCAGTCATCAATAGATAGAATAAGCAAATTATTATTAGAAAGAGGGCAGTAAGTGCTATGGAAAAAATTTAAAATCGCCCAGGAAGGAAGTTGGGAGTATCAGAAAGGGTCAGGCAAGTTACTATTTGAAACAGAATGGCCAGGGCTGACTTCATTTGCAAAGCGATATTTGAGCTTTCCAGGGAGAAGTTGCAAGCTCACATGTGCCGATTTCCAGAAGGCCACAGTGGCTGGGGAGTGAGTGTTTATGGGGGAGTTTGTTCAGCATTTCATTTGGTCCAGGGCACTGTCAATAGATTAGAAAAGCTATTTACAAGAGATATTATAATTGCTTAATTTAACACAGCAGGCATGCATCTTATTTTTGAAAGTGTTCGGTATTTGGTTGTCAGAGATCAAAATTCTGTGTATGAACAAGATGATTTTTTTTCTTTTTTTAAGATTTTATTGAGGAATTGGGGAAGGGAACAGTATTGGGGTATTGGGGAAGGGGAACATTGTGTTTTTCCAGGACCCATCAGTTCCAAGTCAAGTTGTTGTCCATCAGTCTTAGTTATGGAGGGTGCAAGCTCAGCTCCAAGTCCAGTCACTGCTTTCAATCCAGTTGCGGGGGCGAGGGTTAGGGGGGCGCAGCCCACCATCCCATGCAGGAGTTTAACCGGCAACCTTGTTGTTAAGAGCATGCACTCTTACCAGCTGAGCCATCTGGCCGCCCGTTGGCAGCTCAGCTCGGGCGCAGCTCACTGGCCCATGTGGGAATCGAACCAGCAACCCTGTTACTCAGAGCTTCATGCTCTAACCAACTGAGCCACTCCGCCCCAAGATGATCTTTTATTAATGTGTATAATATGGCAGCATTGATTGAAAGTTAAAGAAATTGGAGAATGTGGCATTGGAAATGTCCACAAATTAGTTACAGTAATAATACTTTTTGTTCTATCATTTTCAAGACTTATTAAAGTAAATAAACTAAATTGCACTACATTTGTCATACATCTTCCCCATATATATAGGTTTTAAGTTTTTTCAGTAATGCTGTTGTTATAAATAGGTGGTTCAGTAACTTTTCTTTAAGAAAACCCAATAGTTTTCACAGCCTGTTTATAGAGGTTCCACTTTATCCCCATTTTGCTCACCCCTGATTTTTATTATATTTTAGAAATTTAATTATTTTAAATTAAATAATTATTGTTCGGAACTTTATTCCCCATCCCTACAGCCCCTCATAAAGTAATTTTGGAATTGAGAACTAAAATTTTAATTTTTAATAAGGTCTGTCATAAAATTTTAAACTTCTAATGTATAATAAATGACATCTGCATAGTCTAAGTATGGTTTTCTGCTTCTTTTACAGGCTTCCACTTCGACCTCCCGATACTTATCTTTACCCAAAAATACAAAGCTTCCAGAAAAGCTACAAAAGAAAAAGAATATTTCTAATGCAGGTAATGATACAGTTGGAGCAGGAAGACTGGCAACTTATTTATTAATGTTTATAGAATAGAAAGATGTCCCTATTCTTCTTCATGAATCACAATGAATTCAATAGTTTGCAAAGCTAAAATAACAATATGGTGACCTTTTATTTGCACTGCAACCTTTTTGAATGGCGTTCTGTGCACATTATAAATAACCCAATCAGTGATTTTCCGTAATTATTCTATTTGATACAGCAAAAGCAAATATTGTCACCACATGGTCAGTGAACAGGTACATAGAAAGTTGTAGATCTGCAAAGGTATATTTAAAGTTTTACAGTAATTCTAATACATTTTCATAAACACAGCCATATATTCTACTTTTGGATATAATTATTAAAGCTTTGACATAAAGTCTGATGTCTCTTTCTTTGATGATAATCTTTATGGAGACTGCAAGCCATTTTCTGTGAAACCCCAGGAGAAATCTGTTAGGATATCACGTTATTAAAATGTGGGATATAACAATAATTATCCCCCCACCTTTTTTGCCTGTTTATTTAGTTAACCAAGAAGAGGAAAGTCTAATGATGGCTGGCGGTAATGGAGGGTGAGGTGAAAAATAAGAAGGGAGGAAAAGGGAGCACTGGATATTGAGAACAGAGTGGGCCATGTTATCACCATGCGTCCATCGAAAATGCTCTAAATTCCCAAGAGTCTCAACCCTTGGGCAAGCGGCCTCTGAGCCGTCCTACCCTTCGTAATCTAGGGCCTGAATTTTGACAGTGAGCTATTCTAATCATACCTCCTCCCTTTGCTTGGAAAGTCTACATTGATGTTTGTGACCTTTTTATAAAATTATAAAGAAAATAAACAAGGCTGTATATGAGACTCCAGACCAAGACAAGCATCGTCATAATAGCAGTTAATCCTTGGTGACTTCCTGTGTGCCAGAGCCTGAGCTGAGCCTCCGGGGGTGGCTTCTATGGGGCAGGTGAGAGCACGGTCATGCTGTGCAGTGGTCCCGGTTTGAATCCCAGCTCCACCTCTTACTGATCCCCCTTGAACCTCAGTTACTTCATCTGTAAAATGGGCGATTGTGAGGATTAAGTAGATAATGTATCTAAAAGTGCTGAGGACAGTGCCTGGCACATAGTGAGCTCTTCAAAATCAGTATAAAGAAACATTTGTGGAGCTGAGTGCTCACGGAGATCATGCAAAATGCCCAGATCTCTCAGCAAGAGCCAGAGGGAGCCCTCTGACCTCCCGCTCACCTGGGGGCGCAGCAGTGGCCGACCCACTGATGTATTGCTGAGTCACTTATAACATCTTCTGCCTGGAATGCTTGTCCATGTTGTCTTTCTTCTGCTCTGTGGTAGGTGGCAATAGCAGTGACTCAGACACAGACGCTGGGACCACTGTCCTCAATTTGAAGCCCCGAGCAAGACGCTTCCTGCCAGAACAGTTTTCAAAGAAAGCTCCCCAGCCCTACAAGATGGAATGGAAGAACGAGATGGACGTAGGTTCCGGCCAAGGGCAGCCCTGCAGTCCCCCGGCTCCCCACAGCAAAGAGGGGGGCACCCAGACCCCAGGCGTTCTCCGGCAGCCCCTTCTCTCCAAAGGACAGTTTGGCCTGGTGCGGGAAGACAGTGCGACTGAAGGTGACAGACCCAAGCCGCCACCCAGGCTGGTCCGAAGGGCGTCGGAACCTGGAAGCCAGAAAACCCGCTTTGGGAGTGAAAAGCCTTAATGGAAATGGCCAAAGCCGACCTGGGGGAAGGGGGGAGAGGGGGTGACAGACCCAGCACAGCTGTGGTTGTTACCCTGAAACCTGACACAACAGTGGAATCCATTGAAAACCCTCTATGGCTCTAAATCCTTTCTTTGGGAGATAGAGTCACACCATTGATTAATGGGACGATTGCTTATCCCAAGAAGAGGAAAACTCAAAGAAAAACAGTCCCATCGGATGTCTTTTATAACTTGTTGCTAGCAGTTGTAGTCTTTGCAGGCCTACAGAAAAAAAAAATGTGTGCCTTTATTGAACTTGAACGACAGAACTTGAAATTTTTAATACACCCTTGTCGGTGAAAATTTTAATATATACACATGCCTCAAATCTTATTTATGAGAAAATATGTATATCTGTAATCAGTTTTGAAGTAAATGGCACTAAAAATACTCAGAACATCTTCCCAAGGTGTAAAGGGTAGTCCTGGAGGCTGGGGGGCCATCAGCTCAGAGTCAAGGCATTTCCTGACCCTGCGCTGATGACCACTTGGTAAAGGAAGAGCGCAGCATGGAGCAGAGACACCTGATGACTCAAAGGGGGAGACAAGCAGAACCCCTAGACAGATGAGGTGGCCTGGCTCCCAGGGTGCCGAGTAGAGGTCATGCTACTCGTAAGGAATAATGAGAGTCAGCTGGTTTTTAATTTGTTCCTCATTCTACTGTTTGCTCAAGGTGACATAGGGATTCCATCTCCTCTTTGTGTTTAAATGCAAAGAGAAAGGCTGTATGGGTGACACCAGCTTTTAGTGTGTGACCAAGGTGGTGGCAGCTCCAACGTTCCAACGTGAACGTTCCAACATGGGGGCCTCATGTGGTGTGTGGGGAGACAGGGCAGCCCTGCTGACCACTTGTTGGCAGGTTTGTAGTGTGTGACCCTGGGAGGAGGGTGCAGAAGATTCAGGTTCTCACCCATGTAGGACCACCTGCTCTGGAAACTGTTCTGTAGAACATTCTAGAACTTTGAATCCAGATCAGAGGCTCTAAGCAGACAAGATCGAAAGTTTCTATGAACAATATTCCAGTGTTTAACAAATTGGTGATAGTTCAGGTTTTGAATTTTATTCAGGAAGCACTTTGGAGAAAGTGAGAATTCTATTATTTTGCACTAGTCTGTAAGTTTGTTACCTTCCCCCCCCCACTCAATAAAGTAGTAACTCCAATTCTTCATATAAAAATGGATTCTACTTACCAAGTACTTTTTAAAAGTACAGCAGAAAGACAAGCAATGGAACATAATTATTAAAGATGGCTTGAATCTGTGTCTTAAACTGTAGATTTTATTGGCCTGTCATTTTTTTTCTTTTCTTTTTCTTTTTTGGTTCTGTAAAGCTCCTTTTAAAATTTGACTGGAACAAGATTCTAAAGCTCTGGGTTTAGGTATGAAGTCATTCCTGTAGTTCTATGGATTTACATTGGAGATACAGCAAAGGGTCCAAGTGACCACAGAATTACAGGTGGAAAACATGGATACATTCAACAAAAAGATACAGTCCTTAGAAATCTTCGGTTGTGGTTTTCTATCCTCTTCCTCTACCCTCACCGACATGGAGAAGTAAATCTTCTAGACTTTTGTCTCATGTTCTAAAGTCTTGGAATACTGCTAGATTGCTGGGCATGAGACAGAGGGGAGTGTAGACACAAGATACAAGCTCATGAAGAGCACTGTTTCCTTCCAAAACTGTCTCAAGTTGATCCATGGAAAGCAGTGTAGACACAATTTGAAAACTATAAGCTTAGGACTCTGTGCCAAAAATCTTAATTTTAAATGAAAATATTTATATAAAAATAGGTAATTCATCTGCTGAAAAGAAAACTTTTACTTAAGAATTTTATTATAGGAATATAATTCAAGAGATGTGATGTGTATTTTTGAGAATGCCAAGAGTAAATTTTAAGAAGTTAATGAAATTTGAAAAGATTGACATGGAAAATAACCTTAAGAATAAATTTCCTGATTTTTCCTGGTGTTCTATATTAATAAATTTTATAAGGAGACTATGGAACTGAAGGAGAAAAAAAAAAGAAAAGTTTTATAACACTTCTCCTTAAGCAGGTAGACCAAATTCAGCTTTCACTTATTAGAAGTCAGATAAAGAATTTGGATGACATTGTGTGAATTTCAAAAAAGGGAACAGTTATGTCATTTTATCTTTATTATCAGTGTAAATGTTTTCTTATTTGTTGAATGATAAAAGCAATGAAAAAATAAATTTGACTTCATTTAGCTTTTTCTCTATACTTCTGTTTTATAAAAGTATTAAGTTCTACACACTATAGGAGAGAGTATGGAATTGTAACCCTTTAACTAAATATGAAAACAGTCTAAATTTCAGTAATACAGTGAGATCCCCAACCCTTGGGAACTGACTCCCTTAGTTCAAACAACACTTGATCCAAAGGAAGTTCCAAACTGACTATAGAATGTCAGTGGGTCTTTGGTGTTTGTTGTAACGAATTCTATTTGAACTGCCTATAAGTGAAAAGTCAGGGCTTCTTTATATATAATTCTAAAGGTCAACTATTGCAAACAAGTTAGGCCAAGCTAGTTAGCAAACAACTAGAAATTGCCCCGTGAAGTCTGATACTATTAAAAATATATGTTTTGTGTATATGACTCCAAATTATCTGGGCTGAAATTGAAACTCCCTTTGGCTTTTGCTAAACTTTGTAGAGGGGGTATACCATTCTACCTAGGAGAGAGGGTTGTTTATATAAAAATCATAAAGAAGCAGTTATTTATTATGTCTCAGCATGTTTTACATTTGTTGCACTGCCCAAATCACGCTTATGTTAAAATTGGCATTTCATCGGTCATAACAGCTGTAATATTTTATGGGTTTCAAAGTTCACACTTGACTTTATTCTTTAAAGAGGGATGAAAGAGATTTCTTTTCCAGTTGTAGTAGCTCTTGGCATGATCTGCTGAGGCCTGAATACTGGATGTTGATTCTCTTCCTCAACCTGAACAAGAAAGGCTCATGACTGCTAACAGTCTGGTGGTCTGGGGTTTGGGGTTGTTTCTTTTTATTTTTAGAGCAAAACATGTAGCTTGCTGGTATTTTATATTCTGCATTTTAATCAGGCAGCTTCTTCTATTCACTTGTAAGGCCAGCAAGAGCTTCGTTTGGGTAACTGCTGCCTGGCAGGGTTCATAGCTCTTTGTCCAAGAGAAATGACACTTTCCTTCAACATTCTTTCCAATACCACCCTCTTGACACATGGCTGACACCCTCAGACAGGGTCAGCCACCACAGAAGTGTAGAAGAAACCCCCACATGGTTAGTTTTGAAACTCTTTAATGTTGTATTAGCAAGTAGTTTTCTGATTCCTTTTATTTTCTAAGTTTTTCCCCAAATAAAATCCTGTTTTATTGTCTCTAAGAATTGTCAATAAGTTGTGGGTCAGTTTTCTTAGGTATGGTTAGGAGTGAGTTTTTTTCTGTGTAAACATATGCACTGTAACGGATTACCAGGTTTTTAATATACACAGCATTTTAGTTTGAATGGCTCAAAACCTACTTTAGGACCTTTCGGTATGTCAGAGGTTTTACCGGGACCCATGATCCTTGTACAGTGTAGAAATGTCCCTCCATGAGATGCTCAGTAGACAGAATGCCAGACATACCAGTGGTGATTTTTCTGATTTTCACTACTGTAACAAAATATCTTGAATTAAATATTCAAATGTTGTTTTTCTTTTTTATTTAATTGGGCCCTGTTGGGTCAAAGTACAAGTGGTAACTAAATTTATAATGTAAGCGAGGCTCTCTGCATCCAGTAATGGTACCTCTGTTGGCCAAACAGAAATGATATCTGTATACTGACAAAGAATTTTTCCTGGTTCCTGTGAAATGTACAGAAGTTTAAATATTTAATCACATGGCAATATTTAATTACTCACTTATGGAGAAAATAACATTGCATGAAATCAGGACAGCACCAGAAATTCTAATTTGTATATATATATGTAAAAAACATTCTCATTTGTACTAAATAGGATCATGATGACTGGAATTCATGAACGGTAAGAATGGAAGACCAGAAGACTGAAATGCCCACCCTAGTAAGTGACATCACAGCCTGGCCCTGTGGGAAGTCGGACTTCACAATGCTGTGGCCTGTGCTGCAGCCCATAGCACAGACCGGGCAAGCCAACCCCCTCACGCACATGCGGACCCACGGGGCAGGGCCCCAGACCACAGAGCACATTTATTACATTAAGTTCATATGGGATAGTTCACGTGGTTTCACTTTCACTAAGCAAACCCAGGATAGGTTTCGGCAGGTAAGCCATCACCTGAAAAGGTAACTCTCGGTCTGGATGAGAGCCTGAGTTCCAGCTATTCAAAATGGAAGAGAGATTCTTTGATAAAGGCTGAAGAAAGATCACCTCTTTCCCCACATTGTAAATTGCCGGCTATTAATAGGTATTTTTACTATTTGTTTTTTCTTCTATTGTGTATGCTTTGGCAAAAGGATTTTTAAGATTTTTAATTGGGGAATTGAAGAAGGGGGACAGTGTTGGGGAATTAAGGAAGGGGAACAGCCAAGTTGTTGTCCTTCATTGTTAGTTGTGGAGGGTGCAGCTAGCTCAGCTCCAAGTCCAGTCACCATCCGGCTACTCGTCGGCAGCTGGCAGCCGCTCAGCTCAAGGTGCCATGTTCAATCTTAGTTGCAAGTGGGCATAGCCCACCATCCCATGCAGGAGTTGATCTGGCAATCTTGATGTTAGGAGCACGTGCTCTCACCAGCTGAGCCATCCTTCCACCTGTTGGCAATTCAGCTCGGGAGCAGCTCACTGGTCCATGTGGGAATTGAACCGGTGACCCTGTTGCTCAGAGCTCCCACTCTTAATCAACTGAGCCACTCAGCCGGCCCAAAAGGATTTTTATTTATCAAGATGTAGTATAGTTTAAATCAAGAGTGATCAAAACACAATACTTTTTTCTAACAAGATCCTTACAGTTCAGTTTTATGCGGTATAATTTACTAGTAGTAACTAACACTCCTTCCTTAATGTTTGGAATTATCTTTCCCCTAGAACAGGGGTCGGCAAATTGCGGCTCGCAAGCCACATGGGGGTCTTTAGGTATGTTCTGTCTCAAAAGTTTGCCGACCCCTGAAGAGCCAATCCTGTCCCTCACAACAATTTAAAAATTATTCGAGAGCCATAAATATATTTTTACATAATCACCATTATGTGAATAATATACTTTAAAAATTTTATAAATGAAACTATGATAGTTTTATTTTCATTTCCAATTTTACTTCAGAGCCACAGTTCGCAAGCCAGTTTGCTGACCCCTGGCGGCTCTTCCGTCTCAAAAATTTGCCAACTCCTGGCCTAGAGGCACCACACAAGCTGTTTGAGAGTATCCATTTTCAAAATAAGAATCAGCACTATTTCTCACATAGTATATCAGGAAAACAATAAATTTTGTTTTTATTGTTTTCACAAATAGCTGTAAAATGGTAAGTTTAGACAATCTGGAAAAAAGACAAGATCTGAAGTAATGTTTTAAAATAAGTTAGTATTTGAGCAGCTAATTAGAAATAAATCCTAATGTGATGACGTTTTCTTGAAACTATTGGCTTGCCATCAGTTGTAGAATAAATTTCAGATTATGGATAATTTGGTATCGGTATGTGGGTATAAAGGACATGGGCTTGCTGTCTTTACTATTAAGATGTATTTCAGGATGCTGCTGGAGGTTAGAATGTTCAAGCACTTCAGAATTCTGACTTAAAATACACATGAGGATACAATGGCTTCTAAAACTTATAATTTATTAGAATAAATAACACTGCATTACAGTTTTAAAGAAAATGATTTTCATGTAACTGGCAAGTTCACTAGGAAAAAAAATTTCAGACTGAAAAATGTTTTCAACCCACCACCAGTTCCAAGAAGAGCTGCATTTATATATACGTTATCCTGGCTGGATCCGTGGTCACCTATTTTAAGAATTCTGAAATGCCCCCACCAGACGTGTGGGTGTCACCCTGAGCCCCTCCTGGAATCTCCCTGGGGGCCACACCCTGACAGTCACCAGGCCTTTTGGAGTTTGCCCCCTACCTGCTTCCCTCAGTGCCCAGGACCACCTCTCCCTCACGCTCTTCCTGATTACTGCCCCGAAGCCCAGACTGCTAACTTTTCGGCCTCCTGTTGGTCCTCCTTGCTGCAGCCAGAGTATGGATCTTTCTAAAACAGAAAGGTCCACAGAGCAGTCTCCAGCACGACATCTTCAGTCCCCCCATCTCTCAGAATAAAAGCTCCCCCTAGCACAGATGAGCCCTTTTAGACCTAACTCTGTGATTCTACACTCTGAGTGTGCATTAAAAACACCAGGCACTTCAGAGCCTGGTTCCCCAGGTCCAGGGCACACTCTGGGCATCAGGTGACTAATATGCAGCCAGGGGTAAGAACCACTGATTCTAGCCCCTTCCGTTTGCTCCAGGCATAACTTGCCGGATCTCAGTGCTCTAGGAAGGCACCAGGCCTGGGATGTGGAGCCCTGCAAGCTTCTCTAATGGCCAGGCATGCTCTGCTCCCTTTCTGGGTTTGAGTATCCCTCTCGGGGAAAAGTCCACGCCCCCTAGAACCCAAAGCCCTGAGGCTGTTTCATAGTACTCACCAGTTGGGGTTGGCATAATGTTGAAAGGGTGCCATTCCCTTTATAAACTTTCTGGTCAAGTTCAGTGCCTCTAAAGAAAGGTTCCATACACGTATTAAGTTGAACCATGTGAAACTGCAGATATTGTTGACTTACAAAAATGGCAATTTCATGTGGTTCCACTGAACACTTTGGAAAGCATTATAGAAGTTGCTTGAGAATTTAAAAAACAACACAATCTTTAACTGAGCAGATTTAATTTCCCTGAGATCATGTTCCATAAACCATATAAATACTGTCCATTAGAGCAGTGGTTTTCCAACTTGACTGTGCATACAGAGCAGCTGGGTAGCTTGTGAAAACGGTCCCCAGCAGGTCAGAGGTGAGGCGTGTCTGTTCCAGGGGATGCTGATGTTGCTGGTCCCCAGAACGCACCCTGAATAACAATGCATTAGACTATTTAAGATAGGAGCTATAAGAAAATACTTATGTTAAAAAAAAATCATGTGAACAAAATACTAAAACCACTAGTGGAGAGAGTAACATGTCTGTGCTCTCTATACTAAGGTGGATCTTTGGTTTTCAGTATTTCCATGTACAGTAAAGCCTTGGATTGCGAGTAAGTTAAAGGTTTGCGTGTGTTCCGCAAGACGAGCAAACATTTCTATTAGGTTGGTGCAAAAGTAATAGTTTTGGCCATTACTTGTAATGGCAACAACTGCAATTCCTTTTGCACCAACTTAATAATACATTTTAACTTGGTAAACGAGTGATGTCTTGCAATATTAGTGTGTTTCCAGAATGAATTATGCTCATGAACCGAGGTATTGCTGTATCTGGTTAATTGTAAAGCCTCGCTAAGTTTATAGGCTTTTATTTAACTTCAAAAATAAAGTGCTATGATTTCAAAAAAATAAAAACATGGCTACATTTAAGAGCTTCTAAGAAACTTGTCCACTTCTGAGAGTGAAGAAAAGGCCAGCTTGGGAGAAATTCTTCTGAAATTGTACTTCCTTGCAAAAACCCTTGATTATTTATTGTCCTTTTGAGTCTAACCTCTGTGACGAGTTCTGTGCTCCTTAAGGATGAGGCTGTTTTATATCATATTTCAGTCTCCTCCAAAGCACCAAGCCCTTATATAAAAGTTCAGAATTACAACACTTAATACAAAGTTTGTATTTTTCTTGTAGCTAGATAGGAGAAAGGGCAATCTTCACATTTCCAATTGATTCTTTATCATAAATATTTGAGTTTACACCATACCCAACTTTTAAAACTACAGAAATATTTTTTCTGCTTCACATAACAGTATTAAAATTATAGCAAATCAGTGTGTTAAAACAGTATTTACAATGATACGTGTTTTAGGGTAAAAGCAGTAATAATATCCTAGTGGACTAATTAAGAGGACTGAAAGGAATGTACACTTTGGGAGTCTGTATGAGGAAAAGAGAGGGAGCCCCTAAATAATTTTTATTAATAACTGATGTCATCCAAATAGGAAGTGCCCTGCTGATGCCTCCCAGCGAGCCTGGGCCCCTTATTTGACCCCTTGGTCACTAATTTTGGAATGGCAGCTCAGTCTAGGCCCAGGAAAAGGCACGCCAAAGCACATTCCTGTAGACCAGCGGTTCTCAACCGGTGGCTCGCGACCCCTTTGGGGGTTGAACGACCCTTTCACAGGGGTCGCCTAAGACCATTGGAATACAAAAAGATATTTACATTACAATTCATAACAGCAGCAAAATTACAGTTATAGAGTAGCAACAAAAATAATTTTATGGTTGGGGGTCACCACAACATGAGGAACTGTATTAAGGGGTCGCAGCATTAGGAAGGTTGAGAACTGCTGCTGTAGACCAACACAGTTCTTCTGTTCACAAGCATGATAAGATGAAAGAAAGGATTTTCAACACAAGACACTATAGAATTAAGTCCCTCCAATAAGGCATGACAGCTGGTTCTTACTCTGCATAAAAAGTTATGGGGTATAATGCTGAGAGCTGGGGAAAGTTTAACATCGTTATTACACAATTTTAACAGAGTCCAAATTGAATTAGCTATTAATAAAAACCACCGAATCTCTGGTAAAAACAACATACTCAGAATGGTCCTTTTTCTACCTCCATGAGAAACTGCAAGTGGTCCTTACAATATAACAGATATCTGGGCCTCATGAGGCCAGGAAGCAGGCCTAGGGGTGAGGCCGGTATCTGATTTTTAACCAGGTCCCCAGGTGGAAGTAGCAGCACTCATAACATTGTTATGACTTAAGAGAGTGACAGGCTGGTTTTAATAAAGTAGCTTCTTCATTATCTAGGATTTTGATAGTAGATAAGCTCCCTCTTAGCTTATACAATTGGACATAACACCTGTGTCGCCACTGACTGGCATTTTATTAATGTGTTCTTCTATTCTGATGTAGTAAGGCATTCTTGGGTCTCTTCCCTCCCTTCTCACACACATCATGTTCTGTTATTCCACTGCTATTCCTCCCACCCCACCCCCCTCCTTGATTTAACCTCATTGGCCCACATGGGTAAAGGAGGCTTTTACACACGTTTAATACTTTCCCCTCTGACAAGGCTCTGACTTCTGATCACCCCGCAGGCCTAAATGCAGAGCTGAGCACTGATTGGAGGCCTCCTGACAAAGCACACCTGGCTGGAAATAAGTCTTGTCACTTACACCACCACCCCTTGCAAAGCACGCTTCTCCTCGTGGCCTCTGTCCCTCACTCACACACCTCGGATTTTGGTCTTTCCTGTTGTCCAAACCCATTCTATTCGCTTTTTAATCTATCACTCCCGTCACCACCACTGCGAGGTTTGTTTAGTGACATTATGAAAATAGCCACCAAGGCTAATGCGGCCCCCAGGCTGGGGGGGCCACAAGGGCTGACCTCCTGGGCAACTCCCGAGAGGAGGGGCGCAACGATCCGGCCCACCGCCGTCACCGATTGCCCGACGCCAATGAGGGTGCCGCTGGCCCGGGCCCCGCCCACGGTCAGCTGGAGGTCCATGACACAAGTCCTGCCAATGACAGTGGAGAAGCACAGCAGCGTGGAGGAGAGGACCACAGCCGCCATGGTGCGGGCAGTGGAGTACAGCAGCAGCAGCAGTAAGGTGAGCGTGTTGGAGTGCAGCAGGATCCTGTGGGAATTGTGCTCGTACAGCCGCATGATGGGCCCCAGGGCGAAGCCAGCCAGGGCCCCCAGGGCGTTGCTGTAGCTGATGAGGTAGCCTGTAGTCTTGGGACTCACCCCGAAGCGCTCCTCCAGGGCCAAGACAAAATTACTGTAGTACAGCATGACCGCCACGGCCATCAGCAGGTGCACTAGGAATATGTCCCACATGTCAGAAAACAGCAGGCTTCTCATGACCCGCAGTGTGGACATGACTTCCGTCCAGGGTGGCCCGGCGGTCTTCCCACGCGCCGCGCTCCCAGGGGTGGGACTTCCTTCCTGCCCTTCATAGTCTGTCTTTCTCCAAAGCGCACGGTTCTTACCCAGTGGCAGGCCAGTCTTTGTACTGTTTACTTTTATGTCACTCCATGGAAACAGCCAAACGAGACCTGTTAAAGTGGCATGATCTATTAAAGGAGGCTGAATGCCCTTAATTCACATGGTGCTCCCGTGGGGTATGCGCAGTTACTGGTATTAGATTACCAGTCTGTATTTCTTCTGTATTAGTAGAGTTATGAATCTGTATTTTTGAATCCAGTTTTTAACCATTACCACAGTTACTCTATGCCATTTCAATATCAGAATTCTGCTTTTCTCCTTAAGAAAAAAAAGTCTATACCTACATAATATTCATTATTTTTCCTCCCAGCGGGTTTCCTATATCCCATCATTTCGTATCTAAATTCTTAGGCTGTACATTTAAATTCCTCCCTCATTACTTCGCTAATTCTCTGACTAGCCACCATACATCCAAATATTGGACATTTATGCTTTTTAAATGTTGAATCCTATGGAATAGGAATATATCAACAAACGAACGAGGCCTGTACAATCCTTTCCCCATCAACTCAAACCTAAGTAGGGGTTCAGACACGTAAACAGGCAACAGATTCCTGGGTAAGTGCTATGTTGGGGGAAGCACAGGATGCTATGGACAAAGATGGCCAGCCCTGGCATGGGGGGGTGAGACAGGACACCTCGACACCAACTATCTGTCAGGAAACCCCTGCCTGGACCTGCTCTGCCATCAGGGCCTCTGTAAGCTTTTGCAAGTCTCACCTCAAAACATGTGGGGGGCGCCATTCTCATGGACCCTGACACACACCTTACGCAGCAGCTCTGATCCCTGTTCAGATAATCCCTCCTCCCACCTTGTGCGACCTGCACATTCCAGACTCGCTTGTTTTATTGATCCCACACCACCCAAGGAGAATGACCTCTTGCCAATCCTTGCCCCAAATTTTCTTAAAACTAAATTCAAGCTTGCTATCCAAGGGCATCTTTCTTAACTCATCCCTGGGTTTTTCGGTCCTTCATCACTTAAGTGCCACTTGGATTCATGGCCAGCTAGTCAGTGCTGCTTCCTGCTGTTTTCAGCAACTATGTTTGTCTTACATGAATTCTCTGGACTAATTTATGACAGAAAACTAACTACATGAGAATGCAGGCCTGGACTCTTCATTTATTCCTATCTTTAAAAGGGCCCTTGGGCATTTCACAGAGTCTTGATAAAAAAGTGAAAGAATTGTCACTGACAGACTAACAGGAAGAGTATAATTAAAATACTAAAAATGATAATGATGACAGCAAGTAACATTTGAGTGCTTACCACATGCAAGGCAGTGGGGTAAACTGCTTACATTCAATGCCTCTTATAGTTGTCCTAACAAGTCTATGAGTTTTGTTACCCCGTTTTATAGATGACAAAACTGAGGCAACTCACCTAAGGCCCACAGGAAAAAGTGACAAAGCAGGGATTTGACCCCAAGTCTGTCAGACTCCAGAGTTTGAGTTCTTCTCCAGGAAAACAGAAATCATGAGAAAAAGACACGAAAGGCCTTTCAGGTAAAGTGGCAGATCAGAGCAAGGACAGTAGAAGCTGAAGGGATAGAAGGGTTGAGGAAAACAGCTGGAGTCATTGAGGAGGAAAGTATGACAAACTGGATGAGAAAAGAGCCGCACGCAGTGCTCACTACGTGCATGGCCAGACACTCCGTGAGACGCTGTCTGCTGTTCAGCCCTATCACTCCCCTGCTCGCCCTGCTAGTGTCTGCATCCGCCTTGGCCTTTCCCCACATTCCATAAGTGTGAAAAATAAATCCCTATTACCTCTAAGCCACTGGGGCTGGAAACAGTTGCAGCTGAACGTATCCCTGATTTAGATCCATTCACAGGCATAGGTTAGGGCAAAATATTAAGTGGCACTATCACTGGAGAATCCAAAACAGAACTCCATACTCATGTTCTCTGTTTATACGCTGACTGCTGACTTTCAGTGGTATCAGTCATGTTACCTTCCTTTATATGGGAAGCCTGGTCACATCAAACCGGTCATGTGCTCAAAGCCATTTTATCTAGGTTCACACTGATCCATCAGACCTTTCCTCCTGGCTGAGATTAGAGGGTCAACTTCTGGCAGAAAATCATAAAGTATGTCTATGAGGACTGAGATTAAGCTCATGAATTTTGCTTCCGGCGTTGAGTGATGACGCAGCCTGGAGCCTTGCATATAAAGATTTGCAAAGCTGCGGTAGGTAGAACATCTTTAAATTTAAGGAAAACTGAACAGTAAGAATCATCTTGTTTATAAAAGTATCTGGGCAAAGATGTTCATCCTGCTTGCTTTAAGTAGGCAACTAGCCAAGCATCCAAGGAGCTCACAGTCCGGTATGTATTCTTTTATTCATCCAGTATTACTGAACGTCAGCTATCTGCCTGGCCTGTTCTGAGCAGGGCTGACAGCGGTGAGCAAATCCAAACCCTTGTGGAGGTTACTTCCTAATTGTGTGTGTTGTGGGGAGAGGAACAGCAAGAAAACATTCATAATTTCTGAAGCACTTTGAAGAAATTCAGTTATTCTAAATAGAGTGATTAGAGGAGGCCTCTCCAGGGAAGCAAACATTTGAGACTAGAATGATAGGAAGAAAGAGCCAGGAAAGAAATGTGGGGAGAAAGCTGCAGTGGAAGAAAGAACAAATGACAATCCCTCCTGTGGGAATAAGCCTGGCGTGCGTGAGGTCAATCAGGAAGCCACCTTGGCCGGAGCATGTGCTGTGACATGTGCTGTGACAGACACATGTGCTTTATAGCATGATGGGGGCCCACTGGGGGCTCTGCAGCAGGGGATGACATGGTCTTTCATTCTTGAATAATGAGTCTGCCTATTCTAAGAAAAACAAAGTGTAAGGAGATAAAAGTAGGTAGACTGCTCAGTATGAGTGCACACACCAAACAATCTTCTCATGATTAAATGGCAACTTACCAGCATTGAGCAAGAAGACCAAAAAACAGATGAAGCATGTTAGATAAAATCCATCATCTAGTTCAGTAAGATATCCACCAACCATGGGGCCCAAGATGAAGCCCACACTAGATGCTGTATTGAACTGTCCAATTACTAATGGCCGTTCCTTCTCTGAAACCAGATCGGAAAGCAGAGCCCTTGAAATGGAGAGTGTGTGTTTAAAAATACCTGTAAGGGGACAAGAAACATGCTGTGTAACAATCGAAAGGACCTCGCCTGTGATCCTGCACTTCACCTCCATGCCTGATGGAGTTCTGATCTCCATTTTTTTTTTGGAACCTCTGAGACCTGCAGATCCCATTCCGCTGTGAGTGGACTCTTGGTCTAGCCCTGCGATGCTGGTCACCTTATCTCTGGTAACCAAGCCCCTGAACCCTCAATCCCACCTCCCATCATGACGTCGCAGTATCTCCAGTTTTCTCTTATCCACGTACAATTCATGCTGGTTTTTATACAGAGATTTATCATTCTTTATTCATAAACTCAGTGAATGAACATTTTCTGCATGCCTACTATACGTCTGGGATGTACCTTGACCCTGCGAGTAAAGCAAAGAACAGGTGGGGGGGGGCGGGGAAGGCAGATATCCCTGACCTCATGGAGCCTGCGTATCTATATGAGGGTGGTAAGTGCTATGGAGAGAAACAGAGCAGGGAAGAAGGACAAGACGTGAAAATATAAAAATATGATGACAGAGTCATCTAACCAACACCAACTGATTTTGGTGTTGACTAAACAAGCTCAAAGCTGTGACAGGACTTACTAAGAAATTAAAGACCATGTAACATGTTTATATTCCTCATACTTCCGCTGATGTAGTTGACTTGTATGTACCCGTACACTGAACAAACACACTCATAAATAGATTGGCACACTCTGGTGACATAGGTTGCCCACTGTTTTGGTCAATATATAGTAGGTCCTACTAATCAACGCTGCTGGTGGGCCTACCTGAGTGCTCCTAAGCGTGATGAGACACAGAGCTTTCTAGTGATCTCCTCGAAGGAAGCCTGGCTCAGCACATCCCTGCCGACATGTGCACAGTAGTCCCGGGTTCTAGAGCCAGCTTTGCCTCAAATTAGAGTAGGCATTCGTCTGGTAACCAGTCTCTTTATGAAGCACATTTATAAATCCCTTTCGGAATTAGGTAGACTGACTCCCTCTAGATATATTTCATTAAATGTGAGAAAGGATGGGGCAGGATGACTCCAAAGAGGTTTTATAGGAAATCTGTGATTATTTTTGAAATGATATCAAGGTGGGGGTCACCTCACACACCTGAGGGAAAGGACCACAGTAGAGTACCTTGTAAGCAACCCAAACTAGCCTTCTCCTGCCTTTCAGAGGTGGGGCTGGCAGACAGAGCGAGCAGGGGGAACCAGGTATCAAATTCTCATACTTTAACCTTAGGTTCATGTTCAGAATTCAAGGAACCGAACCTACAACTGACATTTGAATAAAAACTCTGGTGAAGTTCTCTGGGGCTCTGTCGTGTCCGTGGTCAACCAAATACAGACAAGAATAAATTTTTATGTATAGCTCTCCTTGTTGGGAAAGATTGTGGCGTTCATATAACAGAACTATCAGTA